CTCTCTCTCTCTCTCTCTCTCTCTCTCTCTCTCTCTCTCTCTCTCTCTCTCTCTCTCTCTCTCTCTCTCTCTCTCTCTCTCTCTCTCTCTCTCTCTCTCTCTCTCTCTCTGTTGCGAAAAATATAAGAACGATCGTTGTCGTTGGTTGAATCTCGTTCGACAAATTTAAATGAAACACGGGGATCGATATGTAACGATCGATTAGAGTTTCTCGAGACGTTTCGCGAGCGGTCTCCTTATCCTTGGATGATTCATTGGATAGAGGCGGAATACGTGCAGGCGAAACGTGACAGAATTTGACTGTGGACTATCGAGTGGACTACACGGGATCATGGACAGCATGGAAATTTTTCTTCGACGCGGTAATCCGTGTCATAAAGCGGGGGGTCGGTCGTCCCATCCTGTCCTTTAATGGCCGCCACGTTGAAAAGAATATTCAGAGGGAGGAGGGACGTAATAACGTCCAACGTACGTTACGTACGTGGACGTGGACGCTGGACGGGAGGGCCCCCGGAAGAAGCGCGCGACTCCTCCACAAAAGGGAGGAAAGAAGAAAAGGCGAAAAGAATCCCCAGCAGCCCCCTTTCCACACATTGGAAAGTCAGTACGTGCGCCACAAAGAGGATTTCGATTGCAGAGTAGGTACCGCGTTTCATAGTAGAGTCTCGTAGGTAGGTAGGTAGGTAGGTAGGTAGTAGTTCCGAGCGCGAAACTCGATATAAGGAAGAAAGAAGAGGAGAGGAAGAGAGGCAGAGAAAGGAAGCAGCGATCGTAGAAACAAATAGAAAATACCGCGAAGCGGTGCATACGTGTGTGTGTGTGTGTGTGTGCATGCACATTGGCTAAAAGGATGACACGACGACGAAGAGGAGAAGAAGAAAGAAGAAGAAGAAGAAGAGAAGAAGAGGAATGAAGAAGAAGAAGAAGAAGAAGATCGAGCACGAAAAGAAAGAGCGGAGAATGGAGCGAGAGAAGGAGGAGAGGGTAAAAGAAGAGCGTCTCAGGGCGTAAGAGAGAGGGGAAGGGGAAGAGGTTGGAGGGAGGAGGAGTGCATAGGGGGAGGGCAAAGAGGGAACCGGGAGAGTATAGAGGTATATGAGAAAACAATAGAGCTGATTTGCAAACAATAGAATAACGTTAAGAGTCGAGTATTATACGCCGTTGTTACTTCTTGTGCCATAACGCCGGAGAGCATATGCCCATTAATATTCAAAGGCGAAAATAATGTAAACGACACGACAAAAATCGGGGGAATAATTTCAATTCTCCCCGTATGGGATTCCAGCGTGGCGATACACCGAGCCTCCCGGGCCATTTCGTGTCTCCTCTTCGGCCACGTATACACATGTATATTTAGCTCTCAACCGCCGGTTGGTAAACTACCAGACTCTGGCGCAAAAGCGAAAACAATCCATCGTCGATTTTCCCTTCCTTTCGTTCGTCGAGCGGACCGACCCGATTTTTTTCCAGAAAATCGCTTCGAGAGGGGTGGCCCTCCTCCTCCTCCTTGGCCGCGTGGGGCCAAAGAGGCAGGCGATGCTCTCTTGAAAGCGTGTACCGATTTTATCCTCCTCCTCCTTTTCCTTCGTTTCACTCGTACGTATCGAAGGACAACGCATCGCACCGGATCTCGTCATTTTCTTATTCGAGGGTGTGGTTTATAGTATAGTACTCGCGTATAGCAGGTATACCGAAAGAGAGGATGATTCCATCCGCAACCGAGCTCGGTTGTTCCAAGTTATTGGAATATAATACAATACGTACGTACGAAGCGGTTATCGAATGTAGGGTGTGTCGAAGGATGGCGTAGAATGTTAATTGTTCTTTTAGAAAGTTAATTCCCCGATGCGTCTGACGTAATCCCCTCTACCCAAATGTTTTCGCCTGGCAATTTTAAGAATTCTACGTCACACGTTTTATTAGTCATTGTGAAAATGCAATCGCATTGAAAAAAACACCGGTCGACGCGAATTATCGCCAAACCAAAGTTTCGACCACGAATCTCGATGTATCGAAAAATTTTTATTCGACGGGCGTCGACAAATCGTTCCTTCCCATCGTCCTTTCCCCTCTCCTTCCTTCCTTCCTTCCTGCCTGCCTACTACATTCCCTATATACGCACGCGTAACGCGCGAATCGCGAGGGGATCATTGTTCTCGATTATTTTATGGGAACAATGTCTGAACGAATTAAGGTCAAGAATCAGGGACTCTCACCGCCGAGATTACCGCCAATATGTCACCGCGTATCGGGGGACAAAATTACGATTTACGGTCGCGTTGCTCGTTCCGCGGTTCCAGGAACCCCTGAATTATTCCAGCGCGGATGCGCGTTTCCCGCTGGAATGCGACAGACTTTACGACCCGTCCACGAGTCATCATCCAGCCATCAAACCGGAGCCACCACCACCACCACCGATGTGATTCACTCTCACGCCTCTCCGAACCGTTCCTACTCTTCCCGCTTCTTTTCGTCTCGTCGATAACGGATTATCATTCGCTTGGGATCGATACGGGACGATATTTTTCTCTCAGGAACGAAAGAAATTCTCGTGGATGCGAGTAATTTTTAATTACGACGGAAATGCAAACCATCTTGTTTTATTTGTGAAAACGAAAAAAAAAAAAAAAAAGAAAAGAAAGAAAGAAAAGAATTGGATAAGGGATTTTCACGCGATATAATATCTTGGTGTTCGTCATTGAGTCATCGATGCCGCGCGACGTTGTTATACCATCTTGTTCTTGGACGTGGTTCAGTTTCTCGGAACAACGAACTGCGTGGACCAGCGCGATTTATATTTGCACGCGAAGAATTTTCCTTATATACATGTATATATATATATATATATATATATATATATGTATATAGAATCGCACAAAGTAATAAATAAAATTTTAGAGAAAATGAACAGGCTCGATAATTATTCCGAATGATGTTGAATTTTGTTTCGAGCATTTTGCGTTATTCGGATTTGATCGAGAGAAAGAGAGAGAGAGAGAGAGAGAGAGAGAGAGAGATATGCAACGGGAATAAATTAGTTACGAGATTTGATTTTACAAGGGAAACAGCAATCAACGGAGTCGAGTCAATTAAGGAAAGAGGTTTTAAACCCGCGAACAAGATTTCACGGTGAATTAGTTATCTCGGTGTTGCGTCACCGGCCGCCAATAAATCGAGATAATTATTTTCATATAATTGGCACGGCGAGCATGGGATCTTGGCGCTGGCCATTCAAGCGGAAACAAGTTGAACGAAATCCAACCAAGTTGTAGCAGATGCTCGCGGCGTGTTGACAATCCGGTGTTGTCACGTCATCATCAACCGGGCCCGCTGCGTCCACGAGGTCCGCTATAATCGATCTACGTCGCTCGAGTCACGGGTTGAGAGCTCGATTCACGCGGCCGGGTATAATAAACGGTTGAAAACGACTATCGATACGCCATGCCTCAAAAACTTCTCGAAATTGAACACGGACGAAAATAAATCCTTTTCAACTCTATTTTATATTCACGCCGCAACATCGCGCGCTCCTCTTCTATTTATAATTATCAATTAAAACGTCGTCAACGTCCGCCGAGCGAAATGAAAGGGATCGAAAATAGTTTAGTTAATCTCGAAAATCGATCGATAGATGGAAGAAGAGACGTTGAAAATTTTAATGACTTTCAGGAAAAACGATAATTTCCCCTAAGTAATTTTAATAATTATAAAGAATTCGAAAGAACTCGTCGAGATGGAAGAATTGGAGATATTCCATTAAAACAGGGGGAGGAGAGGGGAGGGAGGGAGAGGAGAGAGAGAGAGAGAGAGAGAAAAGAAGAAGAGAAAAATTCCATCGCGAACGACGCGTTCCTCTCGTTAAGTATCCGAGGAACGACGCGGAGGAAAAGGAGGAAAAAGGAAACGAAACAATCCATTTCCGTCACGAGGGCGAGAGAGAAGCGAGGGAAACGGCGAAACGGTCCGCGGGAGATGAAAGGGACCCTTCTCGTCTAATTAATTTGTTCGACTGACTCACCCTCGATTCTTCAGGTTCCTCCCTCCTCACGTTCTGGAAAAGGACGCTGCCCATCTGAACTTGAAGATTTTGCTGCAACAACTGCGCCAACTGCGGATTCTGCGACAGAATCGCGGGATTCTGTTGCAATAGTTGAGCAAGGGCCGGATTCTGGACCAAGATCTGGCTCAGGGGTGTGTTCGTCATCGCGTGAATGGTTTGATGATGATGCTGCTGTTGGTGTTGCTGTTGTTGGTGCTGCTGCTGTTGCTGCTGATTCGACTCTTGTTGCTGTTGGTGGTGTTGATGCTGTTGGTGTTGCTGTTGCTGCAGATTCGGAGAATTGGCGTTCGACGTCTGACAGGATTGAGACAGGTTACCGGGGGGTGGATTGTGTCGAGGTGGGCTTTGGGGGGTGTGCGGTGGCGTCGGTGGGCTTCCTGGCGCCATCGAGGAAGCATCCTTTTCCTCTTTTACTTTTACCTTCCCTGTAACACGAGGTTTCAACATTTTTTTTTTCTTTTCTTTTCTTTTTTCCGAATCAACGAATCATCAAATTTCGACAAATTTAAACGTTGCTACTCCCTTTTCTTTATACTTATAAGCTTCGTTAAATTAACGATCGAACGATCGCAGAAGAATCGTCCTCGAGAGCTAGTTGTTCTAAATCGTTCGTTGCAATTTCGAAACTCGAAGTTCATCGAGTTGTTTCTTCGACCTGTTTCAGGCCGACACCTCGAGGAGACTGGCCAGGAGGAGGTAGATTTTTCCGAGATTTCGGAAAGCTGGGTGGGGATCGGTTCGTTCGATTGGCCGAAAACAGGAACACGAGTCGACGAATAGAAACGCGACGACGGAGCGTGAAAAAAAAAAAGTGAGCGAGGGGAAGTTTTTTGCCGAGATCGAGGCCGAGAGTCGTGAAATTGAGACGTCTCGACATTGAGAAAGCCGCAATCGACTGCGGGAGCAGGTACATCTGCCGATTCCCTAAACCACGAATTTTCATACCCTTCTTTCATACCCTCTCCAGACACCCGTTTCCAAATTACGTTTAAACGATATTTATATACACTCGTTTCCCGTGCATCTGTTTATTTCTCCAGAATTTTATTCTCATGATGTTAATCCCTTACTATACGTTTTATACGATTATTCGGTATTTCCTCGATACCATACAGACGCTCGCCTTCGGACAATCGTGCAGCTGATAATAAGGAAGTGTTTTAGAGAAAGTGAGCATTAGCGACCACCGGTTGACCACAGTCTGGATGCCTTCCACGGCAGATAGTCGGCCAAGAAATAGCCACCAGTAGATTGACTAACTTGGAATTTTGCATACACAGAAAATCCTTGAAAAAAAAAGCTACCGATACTTTGAGAAGAATTTATTTTTTCCCCTTCTCATCTCATTGGGAAGAGAGTGTAATTTTTCCTTTTTACTTGTCCCTTCGTGGGACAATTAAAAAAGAACGAAAAATAATAATAATTTTTCCATAAATCTTCAGCTTCCAACGCCAGAGTTGAAAAATCAAAAATCCTGCAGCTGAAGATGATTCCTCGTTTTTTTTTTCTTCCCCCTCCCCCTAAAAAGGAAGACAAACGAACGCACGGAGGATTTGAGCCGGTGGAAGGAGTAAGGGGGGCAGCGTTTAATACCCCCGGGTGCGAAGTCTGCGATTCAGGTAGATTCCATCGGGGTTTATTCGCACCGTGTAGTAGTAGGATCCATGAGAAAACATCGACGAATTCAGCCAACAGAGAGTTTCTACCTGCAGTTCTCGATCTCGTGGCCGCGAAACGAGGAAGAAAGCGGTCCACCGGGTGGATTAAAAAAGAGGAAGAAGAAAAAGAGAGAGAGAGAGAGAGAGAGAGAGAGAGAGAGAGAGAGAGAGAGAGAGAGAGAGAGAGAGAGAGAGAGAGAGAGAGAGAGAGAGACGACGACGACG